GCTAAGTCGTTAAAACGGGGTAAAATCAGTTTACAAGTGGTCAACTATCACCAATAATCAGGTCAATGTCGGAGTCTTCACCCGATCCAACTGAGGAAAAATCACTACTTGATCGGACAAGGGCAGTTGTAAGGCTGGAAAAAATCGCTTTTGAGTGCACAAGTTTGGTTCGAACAACCGGATTGCTAAGCTTCAGTGGCCTCTAGTATCCGTCTGCGGATATACTTCGATCGATTATCCGGGGCCTTGTAGATAATTTGGAATGCTTCGGCTGGCCTAGGGTTGTGGCCTGTGTCGGCAACGTGGGCAGCTATGGCTGAGTTACACACCCTTCTGCATCCGGTCGCTAGCCATGCCGAACAGTGTTCTTACATTCTCTCGGATAGATACCTAGTCGTACGACCAATGTATCCTGAACCACAGGAACAGGCAACACAATAGACGCATACAGAGTTGTCGTGGACAGGTCTACTATCCTTGAGACTGAGCTTCACCATCGGTGTGCTGGTAAGGAAGGTATGTAATTTGGCTGCTGGGAACGTCCGTCTAAGCTCCTGTGATAAACAGCGAGTAATATTTTCGGCAGCGATTTCCCATTTGTAAGGGAGTTGCAAGAAAAGCGCTTTTCTGCTAGCTGTTAAAACGACCGGTGTGTTCATACTTTTCTCTATGTGGACTTTTAGGAAGTTATCTGGATAACCATTTTCCCGCAACAACAAGCCTATTCGCTGTAGTTCGACTGCCAGTGTATCATGACAGCAGATTCTTTCTGCTCTGCTGACCAGATTATGAATTAAATTCCGTTTCAGCCGAAGTGGCACGAAGCTATGGAAGTTGGTGTACTGGCCGTTCCACGCGCTTTCTCTATATATGTGGCGCTGTGATATTCCGCTATTGAGTCTCATTAGGCGCACGTCCAGAAAGTGAAAACAGCCATTTTCCTCTACCTCCGAGGCAAAGTGGCTTTGTGTTCCAGACTTTGTGCTACGCGGACACCAGACAATGAAGTGAAAAGTGAGTCATTTAGGAAGTTCTGGGGAAAGATTGGCCGGGTTAAAACAGTAGATCAACACAAGACCAATGGGGCAGGATAGTTTAGTGGCATATAAAACCCCGCGCTGCGTAAAACGAGATTATGGACTAATATTGTTCACATAAAATACATAGTGGTTTGAAACAAAATGAGATGTAGCAGCATTGGAGTTTGGAATAAATGATGCTTATTGGAATCAAAGAGTGTAGTCAAATTAGCGGTAAATCTCTGGACCCCTGGAAACATATTCGAACTAGGCACATCCAGTGTTGCTCATTCCAAACACTGCGCATCACGGTTGGTTCGTCATTATTGCATGATGCGTTCGGTTAAAAGTGTTGACGATATCTTCGATATTCTGAGAGGACTGAAACATCACAAACATGTCACCAACATAACGGCGGTAGAGGTTAACAGTTGTGATGTTTGATTTAAGATTCTCTTGTTCAAGCAGGCTCATGAAGATATCAGCAAGTACTGGCCCAAGTGGCGAACCCATCGCCACTCCATCTCGTTGTCAGTATATCTCCCCGTCAAATACAAATTGAACGTTAAACGTGCATCTAAACAGCAGTTCTTTCAAGGCCACCGTGGGTATGCCGATGTTAATCCCGCTCCCGTCAACATATTCGCAGATGTAATTTATTGTCTCAAATATCGGTACATTTGTGAACAATGAGAAGACATCCAGAGAGCACATGGTTAGACCCGAGGCGTTCACATCTTTTACTGCCTCTACAAATTCACAGCTATCCTTCAAGCTATGCGCTGCTATCCGTTTTCGGATGGGTTCAAGTAACTCGACTAGTCACCGTGCGGTAGAGTAATAAGGTGAATGCTTCATATCCAAGACCGGCCTCAGCCGGACGTTTGGCTCGTGAGTTTTGGGCAAACTGTAGAACCTAGGAATAACCGTACCCACAGGATGAACATACTCGTAAACCTCTTTAAAGATATAACCCTCGTTTTGTAGCTTCTTGAGGCATTTGCAGATTTGGCTCTCGGATTGCTTTGTCATATCTTTCTCGCCCACTGTCCTCGAAAACTTCGTCGAATCTGCCAGTATATCGTACATCTTATTAAGGTAATCCAATTTGTTCATAATGACAATACCCGAGCCTTTGTCTGGTTTAGAAAGGCGCAGGCGTCCTGTGGTTGTCCCCGTGAAAGCCACAGTGACAAGCAAATCCGGAACCAGATGCCGCCAACCATATAACTTGAAGAAATGGAAAACAGGAATATATGCTGAAGCACATTGTGCCTTACATTTACCCGTTTGGTAAAGGTTATAAAGGAGGCAAAAGTTATTACAAGTGGGTGACGTGTTCCGCGCGCACTGGGCTTACCGGTGGATCACCAGAGGAACACCCAATGCATTTCGACCGCAATGCTGTAGTGGAAAGGAGATTTATAGAGATCCTAAAGTACACGGCACTTGTCGTGGTGAACGCAGGACGCGGATTCTCCTACAGAATTAACCTGCTCTTAGAATAGTAGAAAAGAGGATTTGAAGTAGAAAATTCTCACGTAGACCTTTCGGTGTGCAATCAGTGGAAGTTTGACATGATTTTTAATTTCAGTATGATGTTGACGAGAAAGTATTTCGAAGCACACCATAGATTAGAGGCGAGGATCGAATACTGAGGAAACGTTCCTCTGTGACTGGTCAGTGGCCTTGTGGAGCTGACAAGAGGCTGAATGAGAATGGAACCCGTATGAACACGGTATCTCAGGTGTCGTACGGAATAACAAATAGAACTATCGGAGACGCTCGTTATGTTAACGGTGGACTACAGACACTTGATGGTGGCCAGAGCGACAGCCAAATCTCCAACTGCTCCGAGTGCGCCACGAAATACGCAGAATCCCCGACTCCCATTTTTATAGGCTAGATCGTGGAGAGGGGAAACTATTCTCTACAGGGAAATCTATTGAGTAATTGAGAGATGACGTGGGAATAACCATGTCTTGAGCGTATTATATGGATCAGTGATGTTGAAAGGTTTGGACGATGATCCATGGTCGTTTTGTTACGGGTTATGCACGCACATCACAACTGCTGCAAGCAAGCGTGCCAGTATCGGGATGCCTGAACAGAGAAGAGTGCCACAAAGTGATGGAGAACGCAAACTGGAAACAAATCCATCTGATCATTGGCTTTGTGTTCCAGACTTTGTGCTACGCGGACACCAGACAATGAAGTAAAAGTGAGTCATTTAGGAGGTTCTTTGGAAAGATTGGCCGCGTTAAAACGGTAGATCAACACAAGACCAATGGGGCAGGTTAGTTTAGTGGCATATAGAACCCCGCGCTGCGTAAAACGGGATTCTGGACTAATATTGCTCACATAAAATACATAGTGGTTTGGAACAAGATGAGATGTAGTAGCATTGGAGTTTGGAATAAATGATGCTTATTGGAATCAAAGAGCGTAGTCAAATTAGCGGTAAACCTCTGGACCCCTGGAAACATATTCGAACTAGGCACATTCAGTGTTGCTCATTCCAAACACTGCGCATCACGGTTGGTTCGTCATTATTAGGTCCCTTTGGATGGAGCCGTTCGGAACCTAATCAAAGGCGTCACGAGATGTACTCGAGGTGAACTGGTGAGTGATGGGTTGCGGCTGCGGCTCGACTCGACTCGATCTTAAGGATAATGTCGCACGTGCGCTGCTTTTTCGTTTCAGTTGTCACGCACCAAACTTAACTTACTCTTAGAAGAGTGTGTAAGTTCACCGTGATGCATTTACTGTTTCATCCATGATCATGCTTAAGTTCTCCAGTTTAAGCAATTCGATAATTCATTGTGATCTACTGTACATGGTTTCAATCCCATGGCTATTGACATCCAGTTCCGTGGTTTATCCTAACATCGGAGGGGATCGCTGGAGGAACGAAAGTGGTTGACGCTGTTAGGTTTTGTCCCCCTCACAATCAAGCGATGCGCCATGTCATCGTAATTGACATAATGTAGGTGGTTGGGGAGAAAGTTTAGAGATATTGCCTCGTCCCGTGAAGGTGCAGTGGAACTACAGCACGTACCGAATTAGCCACCGAGTACCAATTCGCTGAGAAACAGCCGACGGGAGCAAAGACTTTGCAGAGCAGTGTTCAGGCGCTTATACTCCACAAGAACAGTAATGAGAAGAACAACAGAGCCAGTAGGGCGATTGATACTAAACTGTGACTAATAAACCATCGCTTAGAACGTAGTATAAAGAGATTACCTTGTATCGTCGAGCGTTCGTGTTTAGCCTCCTTTTACTCGAATGGGAAACACATAGATGAAACAGGTATGTTAAAAATAAAGGTTTGTTCCTCAGTGAACATGGATCGGTGCGCATAAATCGGCACGGACTAAGTTATCCGAACAACCAGAAGTGGAAGCATGCGTGTCAGCAGGGATTCCCAAGCCTGGGCGATCATACGTACGAACACGCTTGCGTGTGAACGGTACCGTACATCGGACGCTGTGGCCGTCGTTTACGGAGTGGATAGGGCACAGGTTGTACGGCGCCAGTCCACAGCCGGACTGAACTTGAATGATCGAAATGTGGCGCCGCATGCATGACTCGTATTCCTATGCCAAAATTGGTTGGGGACGCGATGCGAATGTCAAGACAATAGTTTTCGGTGCAGACACCTCGATTCAGTGGCCAACTTATGGAAGTTCGACTGTTTGTTGACCAAATTGTAGTCGCCTTGGCCCTGAAGGTTTCGCTAAGGACATTAAAGTTTTACGCTAGGTCGCCCTTCCCTCACAATTATTACTATTCCTTCCTTGGGTTATTGTGGTTGCACGGCAGTGAAGTATCAGTTCAAATGACTGATGTACTGTGCATCACAAAAAGGACGCAAATAAAAAAGCCTAGAATGCGAAAAGGTGCAGAATCCACCAGGATGAACAGGCAGGGAGTCTTATCAGTCAGAATCAGTTTGCAAAGAGAGACGGAAGACAAACTCACGGTTTTTTTAATCGCGGCCGATGCGTCGGTAGATAGTTAACGTAGACCATTCGATTACCTTGCGTGATCACAGTGGCTTCGAGAGCATAACGTCGCTGTGGGGGTGGGGGGAGGGAGATGCAGTGGCAGATAAGAGGAGAAAAACAATTCAGTACCAGGGAGTGAACGTGCGTTTAAGGTTCACGATGAGAAGTACTGTTTGTAATGTACTGAAGTAGCTGATTGGAGGGGTCATTTCGAAGCATTCGGTGTGTGAATGGATTGCAGCGCGCCATCTTAATGTAGGCTGCGATTGACACTGGACATTTGGGGGGGGGGGGGAATAGCCGATATCTAACTGCTTCATCAGTTACGGTCCCAGTAATCGAACTGACCAAGGTTCACTTCAATGAGAATCGTGGTCCACATTGAGAATGTGTCGAAATCCATTCACATAACGAGTGATCCAAATGACCCCTCCAATCAGTCATTAACTGTTGTGATAAGCGTTGCCCGCTGCGAAGTGATAGCTCAGAGCTAGACGGTTTGGGTGACATCCTAAAAGTCCCGGGTTCGAGTGCCCCTATCCTTATCTAATGAGAGCAAACAAAATCGAAAGCGGTCTTAAAGTGCAACATTTTCGGGCGGGTAATACCCAATGTCCACCTTGAGAAGCTCTTGCGTCTAGAATGAAAGTTAGCCACAACAACAGTATTCACAAAACCGATGTGTACTGATGTGCCACGCTCCGCCAAGAATAAACCATTTATTGATTTATAAATGAATTCCAGTCTGCTCCAAGCTCATTCTGTGACATTGAACCGTGAGATCATAGTGCCATGAACACACCTGATTGTGGGAGACAGCGGATGTTGCCAACTACTAAAGATCTGGTGGCCGAAAATCAACTAATCCGTAGACCCTCCCCACACGCTGCCAAGGAGTTAGCCCCCACAACCTAAGAGCAATAGCTCCTAGGTAGTAGGCAGTTGGTATAGAACGGTGAGTGAACGCAAGCGTATGGCGACACTGAGGAACATACAACAATCCAGGAGGATGACTTCTCAGCGGACCTCATCAAGGTTATCGTAAAAGAAGAACTGATGGCGGCACAAGAGGGCTTAAGGAGGGACTAGAGCTTGCGAAAACTGTAGGTAGCAAACAGCCGATGAGGGAGTTCATCCACCTTGAACTCCGAGTCAGGTCCAGTGGAAGCGAGTAGCTGGGCGATAAAAAGCAACACACCAAGTCTGAAGAAGCTAACAACTCAACTGCTACACGCATCCATACACTAGGGTCAACCCGAAGAAATCACTTCGAACCTTCCAACCAACTTTAAGTCCCTAATTGGAAATATTGCACGAACAATGTAACCACCGTCACCAATGCTTCAAACTTAGTTGAAGATTATGTGAATTGAAAATATACCACAACTTCGTGAGGGAACAGGATGAACACAACATTGTCTATTGACAGACCAAACACAAGATGTGGAGTTCAAAAGACCTGCAATGAGTGGTGAATGGGGCAATGCCATTGTGAACACAGCTGGTGCAGTCAGGAGTTGGCTTCTGCAGATTAATCTGAGGAGCGAAAATTCGCGAAGGACAGAAGCGAGAGAATAAAAACATCAGTGACGCGTTTTGCGAACCAATGAGAACCTCCTGCTTCTCGTTTCAGATAAGGAGATTTTATTCGGCTTAAGACTAACAAGACAATAGAAGAATAAGAGATTTGCCCAGTGGGATCCGTTCAATATCTATCGTACAGAAATGCGGTGCACAATGAAGGGGATAGATCTAGCCCGAACTCGCAGTTGCAGGCTCCCGTGGCCAAATGCTTACGGTCGGCCGCAATCAATCCTGGAAGGCCTGGATACGATATTCCTGTGTATCGACTATGGTGGATGGCGCAGAGACAGTCACGTTTGCTTGCAGGTGAGTCTAGCCAGGTTTATGCCGTGGTAGTCAGAATGTCTGGTTTGAGGCGGACAGCGCCGAACCAGTCAGCAGAAGAAGTCCTCAGTAATCTACCTCTATCCTCCACACCCATTAACTTGAGCGCGTAACACATCAAGACGTAATTCCCAAAGAGCACGGGGAGTAACGTGAGGGTACAAGCACCTGTGTCGAAGTTGACGATTCACGCCCGGAATCCAGGTCAGAGTGAAGTACACAGAGAACACGCTTCTCAAGCCGCAACCATTGAATCCCAGCTCCCTACACCAGTTGATTACGTTTTCAATAGCAATAGACTGCGTTGGTCGTAGAGAATTTGCTAATCTATAAATTCTCCGAGCCTCATGTGGCATTAATCGAAGGAACCTAAGCAATCCGAGCACACAGTGGATAGTGAAAACCCAACGGTGCCAAGAGCTGCTCGTACTATTGAATGGCCCACTGAACGAATAAGCCATAAGTGCTGTTACTCCTGGTCCCTGTTATCTCTATTCGAAGAGTGCAATAATGTAGGAAACCGGTTGTGTAGTTCATTGTCCGAAGGGACCAACACCAAAGACTTCGGATGCAGTCCCAGTGTTCCAATTGACAGAGATTTACCAGAAAATAAATCGTGTCCCCAAATGAGAGTGCTTCTGGCTACTACCCACTGTGAACCATGGTTCCTACCTCGAAAACTACGCACACATCGGTCTTGAGGCCATCACGATTCTCAGACAACACTTTGATGCTTATCACCGACCGCACTGACTGCACTCGACGTGTGGGTGCCGCAGGAATGCGGTCTCGTACCTATCAGCTCATCGGTTCGATCACATCGTGCACGCTGCTCAAGCCTGAACTTCGCCTTTTGTTTTGGACATTGGTCAGGTAGCCGTCAGCTGCCCCGATTTATGCTATTGCAAACAGCATTTGTTTCTGGTGTTGTGTTGTAACGGCTTAGTTGTAACGGATCGCTTACTCGGAACGAACGATGCGACCCCCACGGATTCTACCTCCGAAGCGAACGACATGGTATTGTCGGAACTACTTTTCCGCGCGCGAGATTCAACGCTCGACACTGACGCACCCAAACCCAAGAGAGGGAGAGAGACAGAAAAGACTGACCTTCGGCAGAGTGATTTTACGACCCGAAAAAGGCGGGTACAAATGTTGCACAGCCTAGAATATATAATGTAGCTGGCAACCTATGTCAACTTCCACATAGCACCGTCCCCATAGTCAAATGTGAGAAAGCGTGCGCATATAGCGGAATTTGTGGGTTCACATGACTGAGAGGAGTGACTGGGGTTGTGTCGAGACATGCGAGTTCACTTGGGCACGTTTGTTTGCCAAGAGTGAGTAAGCGGAAGCGATCTTGTGGGCACGTGCCACCCCCACATCAGTCCGGTGTCGAAGTGGGACTAGGGTTGGTCGGTGGTGTGGTTCAGTCTGCTATCCGGTGGTTAGTTGCTGTGGCAACGTGGTGTGTCTTCGTGTACGGCGTGTGTGTGTGGCTGTCGTAACCGTGTATCTCTTCATCGATTGAAAGTGGCAACCTCTGTGCGTTTGACAAGTATCGTCTAAGGTTGCGATTTGTTCGATAATAGTAATTAGACGACTTCGATAATGGCTTGGATACTTGACAACTTGAGTTGAGCTGCTTCGATTCGCGGACCAAATGCTCAGCGATGTATGACAGCTTCGGTCCTCATCAACTGTTGCTTGCTTACAGTTCGATCGCAGTCATCGCAGGAGAGGGAGGATTCCCTGCGGATTGCATCAGCTCATGATGTCATGATTGAGTGTATCATGTAAAATTGGTCACACACCTTGCAGTCCGTGGCTGAATCCCAATTCTCCTTTGAAGGATCTCGCGTGTATGCAATGACTGTTGAGGTCAGGTGTCTGAGCATCCACTGTGGAGGAAGGCGTGTCAGCGGATGATGTGAGTCTTGTGCCTTTCCCCCACCATTAGTCAGTAGTAGAGATGGTTCATCGCGGTCAACGCTCAGTCAGTAGGCTTTGGGTAGTCTGGGAAAGCAACAGACACCGGAGTTTCGACCTTCTGGGTCTAGTCAGTCGTGCTCCTTCCAGCGGACCCCTTCCGGATTCCGCCCCCATGACTTCCGGATGCCAGCAATTAGTGGCACTTCGCCATGGATGACAGCCGGGGACCTGCACGATTAAGAGTTGACTATGATATAGCCCGGCTCATCTTCCACTGCCATGCAAGTTATGAACTGTGCAGAGGACTGTGATGGGGCTGACAGCTGGGCTAATGTAATCGCCTGCCCCAGTGTGGTCGATCAGGCGATCGATCAACTGGGCAGGTGAGTTTGTAAAATCACAGTTAGTTGTAGTCTGCCTGAGACTTGCGAATACAGCGCTTGTGTGCATAGCCAGTGTTTTCTTTCTCTTGACGCGGCTGGCAGAACTAGGCACACAACAAGGTGACAGGGGTAATTCCACTGCCGACGGTTCTAGAGATGATGGAAAGCAAGCTACCGGACAACTGGAGAATGTTGAAAGCGAATCGGATGGAATTCGCAGTGTTGATCCAGTTAGATGAATAACCGAAGTCATACCAGATAGTCATGTTCCGATACCCTATCGGCCACGAAGCGTGCCGTATAATGGAGGCGTGGAATTGCTGGGACCATGATGGTGTGATGGATCTTTCCCAAATAATCGAGAGATTTGAGAACTATTGTGTTGGTCGATTAACCCCGTTCACTAGTTGCAGCCGGTTGGTCGATGCCAGTTCAGTGGAGAGTGAACGTCAGAAAGCGACGAAGGATTCGACAATAAAGTAATCAGACGGTCTTAGCAAACAAGAGTGCGTCTCTCTAACGCGGTTGACAGCAACATCGATCAGCATCATCACAGCCTAATCTGAGAACCACTGACAGAATGTTACCCTCGAAAAGCTGCATCGGAATAGAGTGCAGTATAACACACTAACCCTGCAAAGGATCAAACGGACCTAGGCTGCAGCCGAAAGGAAACAATTTCAGAAAAACTGAGAAGCAAATAAAGAAACGATTTATCAGTGTAAAAGATAGGAATGAGAATCCTCGCCTGATGATACTGGAAGGAAGAAAAGCGCTGTCTACCGAGATCGCGACAAGTTCCATTCAGTGTTTCTTCAGTCAGAGGCGAAGGAAGTTGATGACAAC